CAGTACTTCTTCCCTGTTTGACTTCCCTGAATGTTTGAAGGCAGGTAGCCATCCTTCCCTTCCCTTGCCTTCCGGTCCACTGACGCCCCTCCCCCGTCCACTTTCAGGAGCACATACCTGATCCTGGCACTTCCTGCTCCTCATGGCTCTGCGGGTGGCTCTGCCTCACCTGGATCACGGCTCTCCCAGAACACAGGAGCTGGGAGTGAGCCCGGCAGCGCAGGGGCTGTGGCCAGACCAGCTGTGGGCACAGGGAGGGCCTCCCTCACTCCCTGTCTAGCTGTGGGTGGTGGCTAGGGACCCACTGGCTTTCTCCGCCCCAGCCATAGATGGGACCTAGCACACATGAGGTCAGCTAAAGCCTCAGGCTCTTTCACTTGAAGGACTCTGGCTTCTAGCCACCTGTACTTGTGCAGGTGGCTTTTAACTTACACACAAAATTGCTAATATAATTTGCTTTTAATGTAATTCACCATTTCCTTTTTTTAAAAGGAAACATTTCTGTCACCCAGGCTGGAGTACAGTGGCACAGTCATTGCTCTTTGCAGCCTCGAACTCCTGGGCTCAAGTGATCCTCCCACCTCCGCCTCCCAAGTAGCTAGGACTACAGGCATGCATCATGACACCTGACTAATTTTTTTTGTTTTTGTAGAGACGGAGGTCTCCCTATGTTGCCCAGGCTGGTCTCGAACTCCTATCCTCAGGCAATCTTCCCAATTCAGCCTCCAGAGTAGTTTGATTCACTCTTTTCAAATAGATAATACATTGACCTAGTACAAGATTTAAAAGAAAAGTTTACAGTGAAAAGCATCTCCCCCATCCTTGTTTCCTAACCACTCAAATTCCTCCGCGCCCCCACACCTTCCAGCAACCACTATTATTTCTCATGTCTTTCCAGCTATATTATATGTACATTCAAGCAAAATGTGTATTTCTTTTTACAGAGATACTAGTATACTATGCGCTGTTCTGCACCGTGAGTTTTGCTCCCTAATAATGTATCTTAGTGATCTTTCCTTAATAAATATAAAAAGAGCTGCCGCATTCTTTTTTAATAGCTGCAAAATATTCCACTGTATGGCTGTGAAGCTAGGTCCTTTTTGCTGTCTGCTGAGAGTTTTGGAAGGCAAGTAATTATTTAAGGTGGGCTTTCTCAGGGCCAGAGACGGGAGGAAGCAGGTATTATTGTGCAGCTCCATTTGAACTTGCCCCTCCGGCTGACGTGCTGCTGCAGCCTCTTACAGACATGGCAGGTGCAGCCGAAATACGATTCCGTGAGTGTGCTGCTCAGTCTGAAAACTCCAGCTTGGCTCACTTTTGTTTCCCGGGGCTCCCTTTGTTATCAGCAGTCATCAAGCTTGGGGGAACCATCAGGGTATTATCATCTGGCTCAAAGCCAGCTGAAGGTGAGTCCTACAACCCCACCAATTTCAGGAAGCCTTCCCGAACCAATCTGATAAATAAATAGATGTTCTTACAGCCTCACTCCTTACTTTCCACCCCAGGCTGAGCACACACCAGTCCTTGCTAAGAACAAAATTAATTCTTTATTCTTGTGGCTTAGAAAAGCTTGTTTTCTTCTCTCTGTAAGTATATATTTTCCTGGCATCTGTATTCTTCCTTTCACTTAACAAATATTGTCTGCTGTGTGCCAGTTACTATTCTAGGCCCTGGGGTATAGCAGTGAACAGAAAAACTCCCAAATTCCTTCATGAAGCTTACAGACAAACAAGGTCACTAGTGAAAACTTACAGTGCATCTGATGGGATAAGTGCTCCGGAGAAAAAGCAGAGAAGAGAGCCGGAGTAAAGCAATCTGCACTTTCAAACTGGGTGCCCTGGGGAGAGAG